AATCGGACAAGTAATTTATTTATGCATTTACATTTCATAAAATAAACATGTGAATTAGTTGTATTTATAAATAAAACTTTTTCAATACTGAAATTATACTAAAACAATTAGTCGCCTCTGGCTCGGTGATTATACAACTATATCCACTTTTCTTGTGGGCTCAGTGAATATAGGCTTCTATAATCACTTGAATTTGGTGACTAATTGTTAAATAATAATTCTTAGGAAATTTTAACTAATGTATAGATTATTATCATAGATATAATAGACCTAGATTGCTGACTGCATACGATTATTTTCGCAAAAGCGTGACCTGTAGGAGCAAATCCAAGATGGCGGCCATTCAGGGCAAAAACATTAGAAACGGTATAGGAAAAACCATGTTTTTTGCATTTTACATCGACACAATATTTCCGAGCGACATATTTTGGCAACAACTTTTTATCGCCGAGCTTTTGGTTGTAAATTGGACAGTTTGGGATGAATTAATGTAAAAATATCGTTCGCCGAAGTTTTTATGAAAATATCGTCACTTTGGCACAGGTCAAAATTGAGTAATTTACTTGGGTTTAGAGGAATTTATAAAGAAAATTTCTGATTTTTGAGGTCAAGTACGTATATGTTTAAGTCTTTGTGCATCGGCATCCTTTGATCTTTGCATTTTTTCTGAGGGGTAAGGCCAAAATATCTTAATTTCTGGGTGGTGTTTGTGTCGGCAATTTGATCTTTTTTTCTTAGGGGTTGAAATTTTATTGACCTCGTCCATAGGGGGGGGGTGTGTGTACATTAAATGGAGTGGCCCAATTGATTGTAGCCTAATTCCTATGCATACGTCTATTAACCGTGATAGACCCAAGCACCTATACTTGAATGACCCAAGTTCTTTGCCCTGAGGGGCTCCATGTGTCTCATTATCTCGGCTCATATGAGTCATATCCAGTAGCGTAACTCCACATCGAGGGGAGTTGGGGGCCCCAAGATAAAAATATTAAAAGGCCCCCATAACTAATAATATTGTAAAGGAACAAACGTTGGCTTATTTGTGTATTGGAAGGGTACATCAGGCAGAATCATTGAACAAACCATAAATGTGGTGTTCTTGTTTGTCCTAGAGATGAGTCAATCATTGGCAAAACCGATTAAGGGGATGTGTGGTTGCACCCCCCCCCCCCCAAATTTCAAGCACACCCCCTAGAATTTCAAGCCCACACCCCTAAAATTTCACGCCCCCCCCCCCATAGAATTTCAAGCACACACCTAAAATTTCAAGCACACCCCATGGCAGACCTAGAAATAGTTGGGGATCCTGGGAACAACATTCCTAGAAAATTTTTTGATTGCTAGAAAGGACTTTCAATTTTCTTTGGCAGAAAATTTTGAAATTTCTTTAGAAAATTATCCATAAAAATCAACAGAAAGGTTAAATACTTCCCAGTTCAAGAAATTTTCTTTGAACTGAAAATCCTAATATAAGTGATATCGGCATACTGATGCACAAATCGGTCCCCAAAAAAGTTTTTTTCACTGGAGCATACAAAAAATATTCCTTAAAATTTAAATTTCTTTATCACACAACTTCAAATGTAAAATTAGGTGGTAATAAATGCTTATAAGTTTTAACTACAACTGTAATAAGCTATTACATATAAGCATTTATTACAATTTAATTTGTTAAGACATTGCTAACATTGGTATCATAGAATTAATTAATATTATCCAATATCCAATTTATTGATTAACTGAATATATATTGTTAACAGTGACGGCTGTCAAGCACAGTTAATGCCTGTAACACTGTAAGAGTCAAAATTTAAGTGCCATTAAACCAACTAAAACTACACCACACTCAAAAAGTTTTGAATTCTCACAGTAAAATTAACACCTTTTTTGACATGAATTGATGTCAGAAATTTGACAATTACCCACAGGTGCACTCTATCTCACCTTGTATATTGGTATAATCACTAGCATCAAGAGGGTAGGAGGAGGGGTAATTACCACAGGGGCCGGGATCAAAAGGCCGGACCCGGTCTCAGTTGTTAACTGTGATTATGGTGCAAATAAACTAAATACAAAAACTGTATGTTTTTTTTTACTCACTAACTTTTCAGCTAGGGCTACAATGGAAATGTTGTCCCAAGGCCCGTTTCGCCTCTGGACAGCACTGGTATAATATATGAACTTTGCTCTAGAATGACATTCTTCAGAAATATAGGGATAAATGTTGCAAAAAGCATAAATTGTATTTTAAAATACAAATATTGTGTACTCGTGCCATCAATTCGGATTGTCTTAAGGGCAAAGCAAGAGAGTGTGTGTGTATGGAGGGGGGCAAGGAGGAACCTGAGCTAGTAAAGCACAAGATTCTCCCCTTGATGAATAAAATTGTCTGGTGTCAGACAGAGTTAGATGCATTGCAACTTAAATGGGTTAAGAGGTAACACAAAAGTACACACTGCATACTTTTCAGTACATCGATATTAACTATATCTTGAGCAAAACAGGAAATCAGGGACACTCAAATTTGCAACCGAAGATACATTTAATTTGCAATACTGCACACTTGACATCCAATTGACTATAGATTTTAAGATTTAACTTATAATCTCAAAATATTTAATGTAAATTTAGACAAATTTAAAGTACTCTAACGGTCTAACCCCAGGGAATTAATCGAAATCGAACAGCCCATAGTTCAAACAAACTTTGGCAAGCAATATATTTCTATAACACATCCCAAACCGTCCAATCTGTAGCCAAAGACTTAAACGTATACGTATTTGACCTCAAAAATCAGAAATTTTCTTTATAAATTCCTCTAAACCCAAGTAAATGACTCGATTTGACCAGTGCCAAGTGACGATATTTTCATAAAAACTTAGGTCTATTATATCTATGGTTATTATAGTTATAGTCTGATTATTCTGGTGTAAAATTGATGTTATGCAGTAATGTGTGCATAATTATATATTTATTAATAAATACATTTAATATTCTGATAGTATTTCTTTGTTATTATTATGCTGCAGAAGTAATCATTTGGTGTTATTCACAGTTATGTGACATTTCTGCTTGGTAGATAATATACAGATAATTTTATCTGTTAGGGAAAATATATGTCACATAACTTTGACAGATATGTTATTGGGCCAAATTCCTATATGTTGCAGATATGTGACAGTTATCTGTCACATGATTGTGACATATATCTGTTACATAACTGTCACATAACTGTAACAGATATCTGTGACATATATGTTATGGGGCCAAATTCCTATATGTCACAGATATGTGACAGATACTTTCATACATATATTTTGCAGATATTCTACAGAACTTTGACATATATCTGCCACATATTTGTCAGTTTGGTAAGGGCAGTAGCACAGTTCAGACAGTAGTCTTGCCTACTACAGTATTTGGTTTTGTAAATCTTTAATCACTTGTGTTAACCGCTTGGCATTCACACCCCTTTATATAGTAGTCTGCATATATACCACCAACATAACATTCATAACAATCAATACCATGTCCACGTAATTGCACCGTCCAAGAATCAACTTTCTATCAGCAGTGTTAATAACACCATGAATTATCCTGCATTTATACAGTAGTAGTACATGAGTCCATCAGGCTGGTGCAGTGAAACAATCCATTTTTTCCTTGAGCTATCGGGATGCATTTATAGTATCGGTTTTCCATTAAAATTCCATACCATGGTTGTAAACTGTTCATCATTCAGTGTCATATTGTAATGTCACAGCAGGTGTAATGTTAATAGTACAACAGCAGGTGCAGTGACATACTCCATGGTAATATTTGATCTTGACATATCCTGGTGGCTTGGGGTCTGTAGACTGCTACACTGTAGTATATGGTACCATCTTGATACTGGGACATACAGTACATTCTTGTAACTAGTAACGCGACTGATTTCATTGCCGCACACTTACAATGATATAAGGCATAGATTAGAATGCCATGTTCTTTTAGTCAAACTTCTTTTCCCCTAGGTAGCTTATTTAGTATGCAGTTTATTATAATACTATTAACAATCTGATGGGAATTAGTATCATAAGTGCATGTACATATTACATAGATGTGTATAACTATTAGTGGGTTCTCCTAAGCATTATAATTAGCATTTGGTGCTATGTAATGCTTACCAAAACCCATAAATTGGTACCACTATTGACCATGAATAAAACAAATGCAAACATATTATATTGAAACTGTTCTTTTTGGACTCTGTACACACAGCCAAATGACATGTGTTTTAGGTGGGTGACACAATATGCAAATGTTTTTTCAACACTTAGTGGTCTAATGAATGAAATGTTGACACACGTAATTATGTAAAGTTCTTACATACAATACCTTGTGAAACCCACCATTACAAACAATACAAATTGTCAATATTTTTTTAGATATGACACATTTTTGCTGTGCTCACTGTACAGACCATTTTAATGGTTTAATCTCCATTAAAGTAGACTGTGGCATATCTAAGTTGATTGGTTAATCCATTAACCACCAGGAGGTTAACTCTTAACACCGACAAGAAAAGTAGTCTGGCATCAGACAAAGTAAATACTAAAGTAGGGAGCATTGTCAGGTAAATGTTTTGCTCTTCAACTGACACTGTTATTCAATTGTACCAGTCTAGCAATGCATTGCTATGTAGCAATATCAACCAGCCTTATTATTGTCATTAATTAATTAAATTAAAATTTTAAAAAACTATAAGGACAATTTTTAAAAGGATGCACCATTGTCTCTGTTATAATACTAATTCATGTTAAATTAGCAACATAACAGATAATTTTACTTGTTAGTTGTTGCTCAAGAAGTGCTTCATTTTGTATTATTAGCCTGAACATGTCTACTTTGTTTCCTCAAAACCATGGAAAATGGCTATTCAATTAGGGAAAAATTATATCTATAAACAGTTATTACAGACCAAATTTGATGAATTAGTAATATCTTCGTGGTTGCCGCACCATGCATGAACTTTCCCCCTACAAAGAGAACAAATGTGCATTCCACCCACAGGGATAGTATCATCTGAACAAACAGAACAAACATTAATAAAAGGAATGACTGATTTCTCTGATGCAGCACTGGTACTTGCACCAACATCATCAATGCTTTTTTCATCATCGATGCTCTTTTCGCTGATGGTATCAACTTCATCAAAGTTGTCACCATTCAAACCACATGCATCAGAAAGGCAATTAAAGCATGTCCATGAGCTTAACCGGTCAGCAGTTCTTTTTGTTAGCTGGGCACATGAGAGATGCCAGCATGTGTTGCAACTGCAACAAGAAATGTTGCATTCCTGTTCCGGATTGTTGATTTCGGATTCATGTAAGATAACTTTCTCACAATGTGGACACTCTCGCAGTTCCCTAAAACATAATAAATATGGCAAAACATATGTTTTGTAAAATATAGTTAAATTATTTACAAGTGTCTCAAAGTATATCTGATCAAAGTATATTTTTTCATACAGAGGTTTGTTTACCTGTGTCCACACAATGAAGTAACATTGTTGCACACCACATATCCACATTTGTCCTTGAACCTGTGAATAGTATTTGTGTGATCTTTTCAACACCAACTCACCCTCAACTAGTTCCAAAAAATCAAACCTTCTTGTGAACATCCTTTGCAAAAATATCACTGTCCCTAACTGAATATGGGCATTTTACCTCAATGGTAGATGGGGGATAACAACGGCAAGTAAATATGCCATCTGGGGAGCCAGCAAGATATGGTAACAGACTTCACAAATAAACCACATGAGTGAAAACCATGTAATCCATCTACATGTTGACTGGCTGAGAGGAATGCTTGTATGGCATCCTTCTCATGTGTTTGACCCCATGCAATTGCTGGCAGATGAGATATGTCAACTGACTTACCAAGCAGCTGGGAGACCATAGGGGAATATTTAATGGCTGTCTTACCTCTTTTCTTCATGATTGACTCTGTTTTTGTTGAAACTTCATGAAATTTAGATGCAGTTATTCTGCCAGATCTTTGTTCAAACCACATCTTATTGGTATGTTGACCTCTTGTCGAAGTCTCTACTTGTTGTACCTGCTCAGAAGACAACTGACAGTGCTCAATAAATAAAGGGACAACCTCCTCAAGAGTCTTGTCCTTGACACTTTCTTTTGACATAAAACTTAGTGCCTTTTTACTCAGTGATGGAGGAAGACTGTCATCTACCCCATGTTCAACTTTAGTACACATGCTGATGGTAAAACTTTCTTTATTGAAGAAAGCAAATTAGAAACACTTTCATTTGAAATTGTCCTGTCATGAGATTTGTGAGGGTCAAATGCTTTTCTTACCGTCTGTTCCATTGCAGGATCTCTATTTGTTACTTTTCTTAGCTTTTTATTTCTCCTAAAAGTAAGGGTGTTCAACTGTCTGGGAGTTACTTCCCTCCTAGTACCTCTGCTCCAGCCCTGTGGCATACTAGTGCATGCGGGAGAAATAAATTTCTTATGAAATGCAAAGTTAATTTTGTAGAGTATAGCAATCACATGATTGCACACTTCCCCAGTGCCGGCTATACAAGTGCACCAGGAAGTTATAATTTGAGGGTCAGTACTTCCCTTCACACATACCCATACTTTGTGTGGGTCATCCCGAATCCTCTGTGAAGGGCACACTCTCCCTTTCAGAAATGTCAGGGTGGCATCAGTTGGACATTTTGATGCATAGACAGTATCCACAAAACCACTCATCCAATAAGAATATGCCTTTTCATCTTTATATTTCTCTATATAATCTATGTCAACAGCTTTGACCTTCAAAATATAACTAAACAACTTACCATCATCGAGTTGAGGCCAATCCAACACGTTGTCTTTCCACGCCTCATCTGGCAAACTGTTTGGATCAGTCGAGATTTGATTCGTTTCAAGCCGTTTGTGGTATTCTTTCTTTATGTTTACGGCGATTTGTTCTTGAGTGAACTTTACTGGAGCATTTAACTTGTACGCTCCAAACGCTCTTGCAATCAGTTCAGCCTTTGAACCAGTTTGCTTCAAGCCACGAATACCGAGGAAATCGTTCAGTGTGGTTTTCGTCCAGGTCAAAAAATCTTCATAACTCAGACTTTCTTCTGGCTGTCTCGTCGCCATTCGTTCACTGGCGCACAAGAAAGATTTTTAATTTTCTCAAAGAGAATATAGATGTATAAAATACTTTTTTACAAGCGGCGATCTGTATATCTCGGCGAAGCTATCAACTGCAATGTGCAAGGGTGGGTAGTAGCGAAGTAGTTGTAGTTCGCTACTGTAACAAACTACAATTTTCAAGTAGCCAGTAGTTTTTGACTACTTTTTCAAAACAGTAGCTGTAGTTATAGCGAACTACATTTTGCCTAAAAGTAGCCAAGTAGTTGACTACTTTTCAAACAGCAAATCGCTATTCGCTACTTTTTAAAATTGTTAGCAACTTGATAGAATAGAATGTTATTAAGACACAGTTTGCTTAAAATAAATACTCAATTTGCACGAATAAAGTATGCCGTGCAACTGTTCAAACTGTGCAAGTGCATGCCGTCTTATTTACTCGCGTAAGTCGATTTGTTATAGGTTACATTACAGCCTGAGCTATAGCAGATGTTCCAAATACAGTAAAATTAAAAAATATTGAGTAGCGAAATAGCGAAATAGTTCGCTACATTTTTTAAGCAGTAGCTGTAGTCAGTAGCGAACTACTTTTGTTCAAAAGTAGCAGTAGTTGTAGCTGACTACATATTTTTGAAGTAGCTGTAGTTATAGCGAACTACAAAAAGTTTGTAGTCAACCCACCCTTGGCAATGTGACACCACTGATAACCTCCTCGCTGATAACAGACAGGTTTTGAAACAACAAAATAGCACCGGCAAGGCGTACAAGATATCAAATTACATGTTCGCACTCCATGTGGTTTCCTGTATGATAAACTTTTATGTTCAGCGAAAATTTCATCCATTTCGGGCGTTAAATCTCAAAGCAACCAAATGTTTTCATATACACGCTGACATGTAAACAATACTAAACTATAATAAACAGCACGCAAAACGTCCCAACAAACTCACCATATTTTAACACTTCCAGGCCTTTGATTCGGATGAAATCCCGTACAGACATAAAAAAATACCCAGAAATTGATCACAACTTGTAAAATTGAACGATTCTTTAATATTTTTGCAGAAATTCAACAAATTGTGCAAACGTAATTTTCCTGCTCTTAGTATAAAATAGTATGGGAAATGGCGCTGGCTGTGCGCTCGCCCCAATGTGTTTGCACCCCCTGAGCCAATGGTGTCGGAAACCTTGAATCCCTCTATTGGTTAAAAACGACGGACATGACATTCGGTTTTGGTGTCTAGAATCTTTATTTGAGACATTTTTACTGAAGAAAAGACTATTGTATTGAACATATGTACTGTATTGCAACTCATTGAATATACAGGTAACATTTGTCTGTAATATGTGTGCTGTATGATGCACAAAGTTGGGGGCAAAACATTAGTTCCTTTTTAACCTTGATTTTCTCAAAACGAGCGAGTTTTGTATTATCAAATTTGTGGAAAGCCTAAATGAAAGGGAATTTAATGTATTGCCCTGATTTTTGGACTGCATATGTATCTCATGACACTTTACAGGACAAGCAGACAGTTGTTCCAAATTTGCGGTTTTTGGCCTTGTTACCATGGAAACAGTGCTTTTTTAGCGTTTGGACAAAACTATTTGTCAAAATGAAATTCTGTCTGCTTATCCTGTACCCTAGGTCATAAGAAATAACCTCACCAAATTTGGAGTTGATAGCTAATTTTGTTCTAGAGATATTCTTTCTGCAAATTCTTGCTGTGCTGCAGTATTCTGCTGTTACCATGGCAACTATTTAGTGTTATTCACTTCAAGTAAAGTTAAAATTTGTATACTGATTAGATCTTGCTTTTTGCCAATTTTTGTGGTGAATGAATAAATCCTGTTGAAAGTAGAGCAAAAAGAGTGTTTTGGGAAATTTAGGGTTGACTACCACCGTAATACATTTATACAGTGTCACTCTTCCAAAAATTGGACTAAACTTCTGATATTCAAATTGCCGTAACTTTTGATTGCCTTGACCGATTTTAATGAAACAAACAACATTATGTTTTAAATCACAAGCTCTATCAAACTAGCCTACTCGTGGAGCCCCCCTGTAAATTTGAAATTGTGGCTGTTATCCCTACCATTGTCCGCATGAGGAATGTCTGTGAACACGAATATATATAAATATGACCCCCCCCCATATTATCAAGCTCTCTACAGTACTGACTTTTGATTGTTATACCATTAAGTCTGATAATTGCACCACCAATTGTTCTGGTATCTCTTGTTTTTCCCATCATTTTTGTACTCAACTTTACAACATATAATATATTCTTGTCTATTCCAGAATGATCTCACAATTGGGACACCATTTATACACAATCATCATCAGATTTTTGGATTATGCATGGTGGGGGGGGGGGGGATTGTGCAGACAAATTCAGGGGTGGAAGGTGAGTGAGGGGCACGTAGCATCCTGAGGAAGATTAACCAAAACAATATACCAGATAAATATAAAATATTATGTCATTTGTAATACAATGTAATGAATTGGATTGATCATACATCAGCCTTTACACATGTAAAAAGAATATATTTGTTTCTGTTCGCACAACACCCTTTTCTTTTCACAGTTAGGAAATATGGCTGCCAAAGCTCTTGAAAGGTGGCTTTTTGCACTAAGATCATCGGTAACAACATCCTCTTGTTTTCAACTCTTTCCCCATCTCTTTTGATGCATATATTCTTTAAAGAGCCCTGAAGATCTCCAGGAACAAATGTGCCAACATCACCTGCACATTCAAACAATTATATTACTAGATCGTATTTATAGTGATACTGTGCTGATGGACTTTTGAAGTGACTTAAAATATAACTTTCACACTCTCAGGTGCATTAGGTGGTCTTACACAAAAATTTTATGGAAAAGTTTGAATTTTGTAAATTTTCAAAAAGGTGGTGTTCTAATACTTAAAATATCCCAGAATCCGATTATGTAAGTTATTTGGTCAAATCGTAGTGCAAAAGCCTAAAATTTAACAAATTCCATTGGTATTGGCTTTTTTCTTCATAGCAACACCCTTAGCAACACCCTTAGCAACGACTTTGTTTTCTATTCTGCTTTCAAATAAAATCGGGCCGCCTTGATTTATTTTTACATAAAATATAGCTGAACACCTTCTAAATAACCGCTGGATGTTCTGTTTGCTGTCTGCAATGTGTACACGTTTATTTCAAAACTTTTCGAAGGTATATTTTCAACAATATTTTGCTCTGTTGGTCAACATTTATTGTGATATTTTTACAAAATGACTAGAAGTCATCAAAGGAAACGCAAATATAAGTATTACAGAAACCAGTTTAATAAGAAAAAGAACACAGAACCTTTGCAGAAATGTTGAAATTTTAGAGGGACAGTCAGCTTCTGCAAAGAAGGTACGTTTGCAAAATATTAGAGAAAAAAACTGTAGAGAATCATCTATATCTGGCTATAGAGTGTTTAGTGGCCAATGTTTTACGGCTTTTAGCTTGTAATAGTTGTGGTCAACAACATATTTTACATTACTGAGGATTTTTCCAAAAGAAAAGGTTGCACCTCACTATTACACATGCATTGTGCTTCATGTGGTTGGCAACATTCATTTTATACTTCATTAAAAATCAAGAAGTATTATGAAGTAAACAGGAGAATTGTATATGTAATGAGACCTATTGGCAAAGGAGCAGAGGCAGCCAAGAAGTTTTGTAGTCTCATGGACATGCCTGCACCTCCAAGGCCAAGTGCTTACCACCACCATAACAAAGCTCTTCTCAAGGCAGCCAAGATGGTTGCTGAAGAGACTATGGCAGACGGTGCATCTGAAATCCGCGGTAATAATGAAGGCATTTCTCAGTGCAGTGTTTCCTGTGATGGTACATGGCAAAAAAGAGGATACTGATCTCTAAATGTCTGTGTCACTGTTCTTTCTATGCAAACAGGAAATGTCTCGACATTGATATCCTTAGCAAAGTTTGTACGTCATGGTTGTCGAAAAATAAATAAGACCATAGATCCTGAGGAGAAGAGTTCTTGAGGCTGATCATATTGGAAAGTGTAAAGCTAACTTTAAAGGATCTGCATCGTTAATGGAGCCAACCGGAGTTTAAAATATTTTTGCGAGAAGCGAAGATAAATATAAGCTGCAGTACACAGAATATTTTGGGGACAGAGATAGCAAAGCGTTTGGTGAAGTAGAGAATACGTATGCAGCCAAAGGGTGTTACTGTAGTAAAGAAAGAGTGTGTTGGTCATGTTCAAAAAAGAGTAGGTACTGCTTTGAGGAAATTAAAGAAAGAAACAAAAGGTTTGGGTGGAAAAGGGAAGCTGACTAATGCAATGGTTGATCGCCTACAAAACTATTATGGTATTGCTGTTAGAAGCAATATTGGCAATAAAGAGAACATGAAGAAAGCAATTCATGTGGCATTTTCCCATTGTGCTTCATCCAAGGAGAATAATTACCATGTCCATTGCCCTGATCGTCCAGAAAGTTGGTGTAAACTAAGTTCAAGAAGGGTAAAGCTAACAGCACAAATGAATACAAAGGTCCCGGTCTCCCAAAAGATGTACTCAAAGTAGTCAAGCCAGTCTTTGAAAGGCTCGGGGTGAGGATAGCTTATTGGATAAGTGCCTTGATGGAAAGACTCGAAACCAAAATGAGTCCCTTAATGGTTTGATTTGGGATAATCTTCCAAAGACTGTGTTTGTCTGAAGTGATACACGGCATCTTGGCATTTATAATGCGGTAGCAACCTTCAATATTGGCTGCCAAGCATCATTGAATATTTTGAAGGAAGCAGGAATAGAGCCAGGGAAGTTCTGCACAAAGGAGATGAGATGCACAGATCTTGTAAGAGTACATAAGGCGAATTACAAAGCGAAGGAGGAGATAAAAGTACGTAGGAAGATAATTAGAGCAGCACAGAAGCATCGTAGTGACAAAGCCAAGGAAAAAGAAGGTGTTACATATGCCCCAGGGTCATTTTAATGATTGAAACACTTTAATAGTTTATCAAAACAATGTTGGTCACATATAGACAGCTGTTTTTAGTGGAATATCCCATCAAATTAGAGAAGAAACATGTTACGTAAACTTTACAAGGCTTTTTCTCAATACTGCATATTTATGGTAGTCACAAAATTTAAAACACAATATCTGAAGTTGTATTTAACACCTGCTAATGAAACTTCTCTAGTTTTTAGCTTTGTTACTGCTCCAGGGTCGACCTAAAATATTCTGGACTTTGTACATTTTGGCAACTTATAGCTGCTCGACCAAGAGTCCGAGGCAGCAGTTTTACGTTTTTAGCCTCAAATTGTCCATCATATAATAAATGCAGGATTTTTTAGGTCTAGAACCTAAATATTGATAACCTTTATCCAAAAACACTGTTTTGAAGTTTTTTATTGGTTAGATTTTCTTTAAACGTGTTTTAAAAATTGGCCATTTTACCCCCTGCGGGGCCAATTATATCGTAACCATGGTAACAGATTTGTCCGAAAAGTATATTTTTGTGTAAGAGAAACTTTGTTTATTATTTCTGAATATTTCACATAACAAAGTAAGCATTTTAAAGAAAATATATAATTTTTGTGTAAGACCACCTGCACGGCTCCAATTTCGTAAGGAGTGGGCAAGTAGGAAAAATCTTTAAAAATAAATTAAACATTAACAAAGTACACTATGACTCTCATTTCTGGGTGAGATGTTGGAAATAAACTGCTGATATTTTTCAACTATTTGGTTTCCATGGAAACTGGTCATGTGACAAGATATAGTCGGTGATAATGGAAATTAACTTAATGTTTCAAAACACGGCTTGCCGACACACTAAATATTCATGGATATGTACAAAAATATTATCACAAAACCTTTTACTCTTATACTGCAATGCTGTAATTAGAAACTTGAAGATTATGCCACAGATATGAAAATATTGCTATGAATACAACAATGTCTCGCACAATGTCAAGATGATTTGCACTAAAATGATCGTTCCAGATTACAATGCTTACAAGTCTAATTGTAGGACCAAAGTTGGCTGTACTTTGGACAAAATCTACGTATTAATGACCCACATTTAATAACGGTGTCTTATGTGTCAGCAAGTCGAACACGTTTTTCGTGTGATGAATTTGTGCACGCCATAATCATTATAGAGCCCTGCCGTGAAACAAAATATTATGAAATACAAATATACATACAATGACTAACAAACTGCAACTAATAAGTTGTGCATTCAAATAATATGCGAGGAACAGAGAGAATAATATGTACAGAAGTACACTATAATAAGTACATATGTTCGTTTATATATTGAATAGAATATTCGAATTTAGTCTATAGTTCAGAACGACTTCCAGTTTCTTAATTTCTTTAGTATATACACATTTATGCTACGGCTCAAATGGTCAACGCATTAAAGTGGTAGAATGTATTATATTATCTTTTAGACTCACCATCTATGTTCATCAGAGTCCGCCATTTTGAAGTGCTCCATGCTTGACCAATTGAAGGCCGATATACTTGATAAAAATACGCACTTTGCAGAGACTACATCATAAAATGATCGATTTATGTATACCAATGTCAAGAAATCCAAACTTGAAGCATAAAATATTAGTTGGATGCGCTGGGGGGTAAGAAACATTTAATCTCCTTTGAGGGGGGTATTAAATATTTTCCGACACTTTTTTGGGGGGGTGTGCCAAATTTTATGGTAGAATTTTGGAATACCCTCCACGCCCCCCAGTACACATACTTTATGACCGGTCCCTTAATTTTTTTTGTTTTTAAACAACGAAACATTAAGCTATTAAATTTTGTAATTTGGTTTTAAGTTATTTGTTGCTTATCTTTAAAATAATGTATGACTTTTAGTTTATAATTAACACTCTTTTCTCTTGACAGGTAAGACCCCATATTTATATCTATCGCCTGGATGGGGACCTTATGCTATTTGTGTGGAATGTGGGAATATTGGGATTAGGGCCTCTCTGCCTCAAATTTCTATAACTTGAAGTAATGCAGTATACAAGGCACAGTACATGGTATGTTAACATTGTATACTTACTTTATCTATCATATTGTTTTTAATTTGTTTTTCAGAATCATTAGAATCTCCTTCAAGCCAATAAAGCCCATCACTGTCTGTGGCACAATCTTCTACCTCATCTTCTGTATTGAATGTGGGGCAAAATGCAGCAGAACATCGTAGACTCTTCAATTATGCAAGGGCTAAGCAGTCTGGTAAAGGGAATTATAAGTGGAAAAAGTCTCAATGTTCCCTTATATTTGTGTATCAGTAGTTGTGATGCAGAGAAGCTGCCAACTTCAGTAAAAGACAGAACAGCATTGTTGAATGCTTGGACCCAAGATGCTGTCATTACATTTAATAGTGATGGAGACAGTTCCCACTTTCATGACAAGCTATTGTTGACATTTCCACAATTAGCAAACAGTGGATATGATGAGTCAGCATTTTGCCCATTAAAATCACCTGACGTCCCAAGAAGGGTCAAGGATGGTGGCTGGGCAGTGCAAGATATATAATAAGCCATTACAGCAAGATCTTATTGAAGGCAAACCTTCAAGTCTTGAAGTAAGTGCCGTAATAAACTATCAGCAATGTTAATGAACCAATGGTCAAATGTATAATTTGGAATACTATAAGGTTGAAATGAGTTTAATAAAGCACCATCACAAGTCAGTTATGACAACCAGCCTAAGGTAATGATGTACAAGATTACTTCATGAACAATACAGTCAGTGGTGCCGTGGGACCCATGTTTTTTGGGGGGCCAAGGGCAATACTTTTCTGACAAACTGAAATTTCTTTTGGGTGACCTCCCCCCCCCCCCCCCCCCCCCCCCCCCCCCCCCCCCCCC